AGCACACTACACAGCCTGTAGGCAGCTCAACAGGTTGGAGAGTGTCCTTTCCAGGTGCCTCAGTGGGTCTGAGCCTTTTCCAGGCAGCTCGACTTGTCTCTGCTTCTTCCAGGCAGCTGGTCTGGTCTGGGTCTTCTTTGCAACTTGTCTTGTCTGAGAGGGACTCTCAGCTTTTACTGCTTACTCTATTAGGGAGAGGCCTAGTGAATCTGGTCATTTTCTGGGACTTCCTGAAACTATTTTGAGTTGTTTACTTTCCTGTTTACAGAGTTTCCCCTGCAGGATGGAAATGCTGCAATCTCAGAGCAAAGGAAACTTTTACAGAATAGAGTTTCTTGGAGTAGTCCCTTAGCCTGTCACAGTCTTACATTCTACGTTTATTAGATACTCTTTAAGGGACATGATCATATCTCCTCTTTTATTCTCTCTTGAGCTGAAGATTTGGTCACGGTGGCTGCATATGATGAAGTGAATAGTCACATATGTATTAAGAACATGGTCTACCTCCATTCTTTTATTTTTTTAATGATTTATTTATTTGCATTGGTTCATCTGTGTAAGAGTGTTGGATCTCCTGGAAGTGGAATTACAGACAGTTGTGAGCTGCCATGTGGGTGCTAAGAATTGAACCCAGGTCCTCTAGAAGAGCAGCCAGTGCTCTTAACTGCTGAGCCACCTCTCCAGGCCCTCCATTCTTTATAGATGCTAATTCTACTTCCACTCTTTCAAGCATGCTAATTCTTAGTGTTTATTTCCTCCCAGTTTCTTTCCTCAGTGTTCTCCCATCTAACTGAGAACTAGCCTATATTATTTATTTTTAAGAAATCCTTTACAAATGTTTCTCTTTGTAGAGATAATTGAATCTTCTCAAAGACTGCTAACGTTGACCATTAAAATATATATTTTTAAAATAAATATCCTGAGTGTAAATATTCAGATAATACCAAAAATCAGAAAGACAAATTCCTTCTTAACCCCCACAATATGTCAATTTATTGCATAATATATAAGGCACCTTCTCATGTCTACATATTCTAAATATCTCATGTATATTAAACATGTACTTTTTCTTGCTTTAAATACATAGATTGATATTTCAACAGCTCTGCTTTTAAAGAATAAAAATAGTCTTATGCATTTAGTTCATCTCTTTTATTTTTCCTATGTCAAATAAGCCTATTTGGGAAAGAGAAGTTTTAATAAGAGGCAGGATATTAAGTATAGAACATGTTTTTTTTTAAGGCCCAAATTTCACCTCTGACTTCCAGACACACTTCATTCTTCAAATAAATCTATTGAGAATGAGAAATCTAAATAAGAAGCTATTGGGGGAGCTTTGGAGGGAGGGATTGAAGTTTGGGACTGACCAGGGCAACATAGCAGGACTCCACCTTAAGAAAGAAAGAAAAAAAAGCACAGAATTTAATTATGAACTTAAATTTAATCTTGCTTCATTTTATTTCCACATTTTTGTTACTATGGGTTCAATGTCCTGCATTAGCCCAGTTCACACTTTTACACCAGATCCTTTTCACAGGACAATTTTCCTCAACTCAGAAAATTACAATGAAGCCAACGTGTTAGATTCAATGGCAGACTCTGCTAAGCTGTGAAATCTGCTCTCCACCACCAGTTGAATTTGGGTACATCTATTTGTGCAGTGTGCTAGACAAAACCATGCTTCTAAAAGCCAGAATCAGACTATGCCCAGCATCCTCTTAGAAATCAAGCCAGCACAGAAGGCAGTGTCATGTGACGTTGGTGCACTCATTCAGGAACTTCCATGCAGTCTGAGACTCCTACCTCTAAACCCAAAGCACAAGAAAGTACACGAGATCCATGGGATCCTTTCCTAGATTATGCAAAAATGCAAATCAGCACTGAGGGAGCACAGCCAGTTTCAACAGAGGAAGCCTCCCCAAGTCTTTTGGGAGGAGAACAATGCAGATTCCACCTCCTATCACCCATGCTGGTCAGACTACAGAAATAGAACACATTCAAGCAGGTCCCTGCCAGTGGAAATGACCCCAGCAGGACTAAGGCATGGCACTGCCAGCAGCTGAAGAAACCTGGACACTCTAAACCTCTATTTAATAGAAGAACGACAAAATGTGGGCTCCCCATCTGCTTCCCCCAGCAGTCTTCACAATATCACCCACTGGCCAAATCGACATGAGTGGAAGCACAGAGTGCCAGAAACACAGACCCAGAATGTAGTCACTTCATTACCATTCAAGTTCTGGTCATTGACTCTCTGACCCGGGACATGTCCTACCAAATCCCAGCAGCGGCACCTACCACAAACCAAAAGGCTTGATCAGAAGCTGGGCCAACAAAAGAGATGGGAAGAGCGTGGAGAAGCTGAACGGTTAGCAATGTGGCATTTACTCCGATCCCTGGAGGACCAGTCAACAGATCGATGCTGCTTACTTCAGACCTAGAGGAACTTCTGTTAACTGAGATGTCATGCAGCCTCGGAGGGAAAGAGGCAATGCCATCAGAGTGACAGACAGGCTGGCTACCTCTGTACTTACACAGGATTCTTGCATGTCGCTTTGAGGTCCACTCACATACATGAGTAGTCATGCCATCAGAAGCAGTATTTCCAAATACCAAGGCTAAAAATAAATACATCAATATGAAGTATAGACACAGACCAAGATGGGCCTCTCTGTCTTAATAATTTATTTACTTTTATTTTATGTGCCTTGGTGTTTTGCCTGCATGTATGTCTGTGTGAGGTTGTCAGATCCCCTGGAATTGGGGTCACAGCTGCCATGTTTGTGCTGGGAAATGAACCCAGGTCCTCTGGAAGAGCAACCAGGGCTCTTAACCGCTGAACCGTCTCTCCAGCCCCCTCACTCCCTCTTGAACTTCAAATTCTCATCATAGCCGAAGGCTGGTGGATTGTGCTGGGGCTGAGTTAGTGGACGTGTTACTGAATTTCCCATCAGCTTTTCCAGGACCCATTGTAGATTTCTTTCTGTCGTTTGCAGCCTTTGCAAATGCTACTCTTTCTGAAATTTCCCCGTTCACTTTCCCCATTGCCTCAGGTCACCTACCCATGCCACCGAGCTTCATTTCTACATACAGCATGTAAGCTCTCATTGTTCATCGACCTGAGCACTCCCCCATCCCCAGCCCAACCCCTCCCCCACCATCCCGCCAGATTGTACTAGTCTATCAAGATGAAAACAACACTATGACACTTGGAACAAACTTCTCCTGTCAGATGCACACAGGAGCCTCTGTGGCACAGTCGGCACTTGTCCCCCATGCAAGAGAGATTCAACTCCCAGATATGAGATCCAGACTGTAGATCACAGGGTAGACTGACTTCTGCCCTTCATTTGAGTGCAAGAATACTTATCTCCTTATTTCCAAATTCTTCTCAAATTGCAGCTAGACCTGGGGAGATGTAAATATGTAAGTAAAACCCAAGTGGTAACCGTATTCACAGGTTACCCTTTCTCAGATGCCAGCACTTTTCAGCTGCCTTATCAGGGGCTGCTTCAACTCCTTATTCATAAAGGACCAATAATAAGAAAGGGCAGTTAAGTATTCAGGGAAGACCGCAAGAGTTACCGCTATATACTGATCCTTTTGTTCTGAACTACTGTGTAGGATTGGGCTGTGGGCAACATTTCTATGTGTCTTTCTTGTGGCCCGGGACTACTCTTAATTCATAACACTGCAGAGGAAACCTTTTCTGAAGCAGACGCTGAAAATTTTAACAGTCGTTGGTGGTGTTGAATATTTATCCAACACCCATGACTTGACTAGGCACTCTACCGATGTATAGCTTGCAAACTGGTTAAGACTTTCTAGACGAAGAAAAAAAATCATAGTGAAAGCTAAACACTATTAAAGCATTGTAAGGGCAACAAAGACACACATTCTTTAAATATCTGTAGCTGCTTTCCATAACACAATGCAATTTCCTGCCCCTACCATTAAGAATAGTAAGAAGCATAATAGACTCTGTGAGCACATGTCTACTATTATACTTGAAACATTTGTCTAAGCTTGCCAGTAGCTTGGGCTGAAAAAATAAAGCTACATTGTTAAAACATATTTCAAAGACTCTTTTTGCAGAAAATGTGCAAAATAATTGGAGATAAATGGATTCATTTTCTCTTCTAATTTTCATTTTATTTCATGCATATGGGTATTTCGCCTGCACGTATGTCTGTGCAACATATACATGCCTAGTGCCTGCAGAGTCCACAAGAGGGCATCAGATTTCCCCAGGGGTGGAGTTAAGATGGTTGTGAGCCACCATATGAGTACTAGGAGTCAAACCTGGAATTCTCTGGGAGAGAAGCCTATGCTCTTACCTCTCAGCCAGCTCCCCAGCTCCAAACAGATTTGTTTTCCATCTGTACAATGCTACTCCTTGTCTTGCTTCCCCCTGTGACTGTCTTCTAGAACCCAAGGTTGGCACCTTGACTGAATTCTATCGGTGGAGGACAAGTCAGCTCCCTTTTCTAAGATGGCTCTAGCAGGAAAAAGCACACAGTGGTCCTAATCCCACCATTCTTCTAGTACTCAGCCACAGGTCAATATTCCCACACTCAAATACCTCTGTCCTGTCTCCTTTATCTTCCTCATTGGAAAGCAGATCTGGCATTCAGTCTGAAACTTGGTGTACAAGCTGAGAACCCTAAAATTGTGTCAACTCCCTACCAACCTTCTTTCTTTTCTCTTCCTTCTTAGACCCTGCATGTTGGCAGAAATCTTGAAAGGTGAGCATTTTTACACTTTCCAGAATACCTAGATCTCACTAGGGAGATTCTGCCTGCCATCTTGGACGGTATTGGTGACTGCCTAAGTTGCTGTTCAGAAAAAAAAAAAAAAAAAAAAAAAAAATAACAACAACAAAACTGTTTGGGCATGTACCAAAGCACTAATCATTACCTCTGTGTGGTAAAGGAACACGTGACCTCAATTGTCGCCTTTACATCCTGCATTCTCCAAATGTTCTGCAGTGATGAATTACTTTCATGCTCAAAAAGAAAGTTTTGGGTTTGTTTTTTTTACATATATATCATTTACCTTATCCTGTGTTTCTCCCTTAGTATATTATTTCTTCTCTTTTCCAGACGCAGCCTGATGAGAAAGGGCTTTTTTTTTCTACAAAGAAAATTAAAATCTAAAGATGAAATTTTAAGAGAAAATGTATTTTAAAGATTTTTCTAAAACCTTTTACAACATAAACAGTCTGATTTAACACTATCTTACAGCACAGGAAAAAGAAAGCAAGTGATTTATTGATGATATAATATATTTGTATTCTTGTGGTACCATAAGAATTATAGAACTAAAATTTAGGTTAAATATAGATAATTTTATGGTTAAATTTAAACAATGCAAAACTGAGTTAAAAAAAAAAACGTAACTCACCACCACAAATAAGGGATGCCAGGAAATGGGGAACTGTGTCTTAGATACAGATGTTCTTTAGCTGTGGATAAGTTTTCCCACACGCTACCTCCTGCCATGCTTTGGTTACAAGACATAGGTCCTTCTGCATTGGTGGGGTATATCTGTCTTATTGGTCTCACTCTACCTGGGAAGTATGTGTCCTTCAGAGTGTACTCTCTATGTTGTGTTGAAGAGTTTGAAAGCCACTTTCCTTTTCTGTGTCTAGAAGTATCAAAACCCACTGCTGTATATTTGGATTTCTTTAGTGAGAAATCTACAGGCCTCTGTCACTGATTTCCTCATTATAAAAATCCCCACATGAGAACTTAGTAACTAGAGTTTACTTCCAAAAATTAGAACATAAGGAAAAAAGCCTACAATAAGCTAACATTCCACACATATTAATACAGATACACTCAAAAGGGAGATTAATAACAAGTGTTAGAGAAATTGGAATACTCACACTCATACATTGCTAGTGGGTATGCTGTCAATATAGAAAACAATAGTTTCAAAAATACTGTTCCAAAATTGTTTGATAATTCCTCAAAATTTTCCGCATAGAATTTCCAAATGATTCAGAAATTCCATTCCTGTCTACAAACCTAAAAGGAAAAAAAATTATACAAAGACATGTATTTAAATGTTTATGGTAGCATTATTCATAATAGCTTTAAAAAGTCGAAATAACACAAATGTCCACTAACAATGTTGTAAATCCATACAATGATATATTGTTTGGCAATAAAAAATAAAGAGGAATAAAGAGGGATGGTGAAATGGTCTAGTGGGTAAAGGCATTTGTTGCCAAGTCAGGTGAACCGAGTCCCTGGGACACGTGATAAAAAGAAGTTGTTGTCATCTGACCTCCACACATACAATGTGGCATATGCACATGCTTTGTTACTTCATTTGCAAGAAGTACCCTTAGCACCCAGTTTCAACCTTGACATCAGTCCCCAATTTTAGAGAAAACTGGATCTTCTTGATAGAAAGATTTATTCCATGCTTATCTACGACAATATGGACCCGAAAGCAGACTCTGTGATCAAGAGTGTGGGAAGCTGACATAAAGCTATCTATGAACACTACCCAAGGCTCATGAAAAGTGATCCACGTAAGTTTTCTGCTATATCATATGTAATTACTTCCTCTCTTCCCTTCCATCACTTTTAACCTTCAGTCTAACAGAGACAAACAAGTTCACAAAACACCTCTACACAGTGTTCAAGACAAATATTTCTTAGTATATCTTCAGAATTCTTTTCTGATCTCCCTAGGTCAAATTTACTTATTTACCATTCCTGTTCTATAATCTCAGTAAGCATATACTTTTAGTCCTAATCCTAATCAAGTCAGAACTCCTATGTTATATAGAAAATATTATAGAGTTTAATAGTTCCTTAAATCTGTGGGAAGCACTCCACTTCCTCTGTGACTTGCTCAGAAAGCAAAACCTCCAATAAGGCACAAGCGAATCTTAAACTCTTTCTTGGAGGATGTAAATCGTGGACCAGAAGTGAGAGATACAGAAGAATAGAGAAGGAAAGGCGAGCCAACCCACCATCATTCGCTCCTTCATTGTGACTGGTTGCTCAGCTGCACAGAGTAACCTGAAATTTTGTACAGAAAGGGCAAGCATTTATCCATGAGCTCCCATTACTGATGATGTTGGGTCAGCTCTCTGCACAATGATCCTACTGCTGGATTGGATTGCTTCCCTGTGATGATGGTTTTCCATTTCCTGACTATCCTATACATGGAAAGTTAGAGTTAACACCTTGATTAAATTCAACTTACATATTTTTGTCTAGAATTTATCCTGGGTGAAATCATTTCTTAGCACTCAGTCACGTCAGGACACACTTCCAGCTGATTGACAGGTACAACAGCTGACTGCTGGGTTGCAGTAGTGGCCTGCTCTCTTCAAAAAGCCATTCTAAGTTTCCCCTTGAAACCAGAAAGACATATGGTTACACTGGGATGATATAAATGTCAATTGCTGTTGTGTAGACGTTTCCTCTGAGATTAAAGCGTTCCATCCTGCGGGAAGCTCTCGGTACAAAGTATGTAACAAGTCATATCATTTACCTTCAAAATTTTTCATGCTTACTGTATGTGTATGAGTATGGACCTCAGAGTACAACCTGCTGGAGCCAGTTCTCTCCCTGCACTGTATAGTTCCCAGGGATGAAACTCAGGTCATCAAGGCCAGTAGCAAGTGCCTTTCCCTCATAAGCCATCTGGCTAGCCCACATACCAATTTTCATTGCTGTAGTTGCCTTATTATTACAGGGAGGTAAACAACTCAAAACGGCTTCAGGAAGTCCCTGAAACTAACCGGACTCAACAGGCCCCTCCCTGATAGAGTAAGCAATAAAAGCTGAGAGCCCCTCTCTGGCCTTAAGAACTTGAACTGCAGTGAAGACTCTCAGCTGCCTGGAAGAGGCCCAGACCAACTGAGGCACCTGAAAGGGACACTCTCCAACCTATTGAGCTACCTGTAGGCTGTGCAGTGTGCTCCAGGTCCCCAGCTTTGTGAGCTGTCACCCATGATGCAGCTGTCTTTGAATCATATCTGCTCCTGTAAGTAACCCCTCACCCATATTCCTGTAAGTAACCCCTCACCCATATTCCTGTAAGTAACCCCTCACCCATATTCCTGTAAGTGACCCCAATAAAACTCACTGGTTCACCAAGTTGGACTTTGGTGATATCTTACTTTGGTCTGCTGTGGGCTCCCTATCTGGGGTGAGTAGACATGTGTATTGTGTTCCCCAGGAAAAGTTTTGTCACACAACAATTACCTATCAATCATTCCCCAATGGCATTCATATCAACTGTCATTCAATCATATTTAATAAATCTTACACTGAATATTGTTCAGTGTGTAAAGGTATACCAGAGACATGTGGGGATATATTTCTCATCTCTACTCTCCTTAATCCCACTCTGGTTATTGGATTTTAGGTGGCCTCCAAGAGACTGAGATTAATCTGCATAACACAAAAGGCTGCAAATAGTTCTGCAACCTGAGAAAGTGTTTGGCGTCTTTCATCCTATTAATAAGTAAGTTGTGGATCCAGTTGTTACTTCCCAAATACAAAGGGGAAATGCATTTTCCTGCGTGTTAGTTTCTGAAACATTCTCATTCATTTGTTGGCTAATTCTTGCCAAACTACTTTGTGGCTTTGGTGATAATTGGTTGTATCTTGGCGCAAGAGGCTGTTTCCAAAATCATAAAGGAAAATTAGGCTTTGGTACCTAAACTGGACTTGTCTATAAAGATGATGTTGACGATTTCAGGAACTAGAAAATGTTTACCTTCTGAGAGCTCCTTAAATCCAAATCCTAAACAGACACTGGCCCCTTTTCCATTATTGCTTATATCGAGAAATGAGGCTGCCACCACTCACTCCATCATGTGGAAACACAAGAATGAGCCTTGTTTCCTCTTTTCCCTCAGTCTTCAAACCAGCTAACAGAACCTGTCCATTCTACCTATTCACGAGCTCTTGAAAACAGCCCTTTCATCAGTGCCCAGTACCTCTGTATCCATCTCCACAGATCAGGTGGGAAGGGCATTCCAAAACACAAAATGGCTCCACTGCTTTCCCATAGGCTTTCCTCTGGAAAAACCAAAGCATCCATCATGTTTGCAAGAGCTTATATAATGTAGACCACCAGCTTCTCCATTGACCTCAATTTCTATGTTTCTCCAACTCGGTACTTTGGTCATTAAAACTTCTCGGGGTTTTTTGAATGAGTCCTTTCTTAACTCCTAAGCTTCATAAATCTATCATCTCTTCCAAAAAAACACCACCATCAGACACTTCTCATAACTGGCAACCCCTCCACACACAGGACTTCTAAATCCCACTTAAAGAAGGTTCCTCCTGGTTCTCTTTATCGCTATTCACTGTACTTATTGAATAGCTGCCTTCTCTTTTATACTACAATCTCTATACAGGCTCCAACTGGATTTCCCATCTTTCTTTTTCCTCATAATGTACCTCAACTGCAGAGACAGCAGAAAAAAATATATTAAAAGTATCTTACTTATACTAGTAATTACAGACCTATTTATTTACCCTGGCAAACCAAATTAAAATCCATTTTTTAAAAGGGAAGGAATTCTCAATATGAAAGTGTTAGTATATGTAAGGCGTCTACTGATTTATTGATTTAAAAGCTGGGATAAGGTCAGTTTGGTGGCTCGGCAGGTTAGGTCTCTTTGGCATCAAAGTGGTAAAAGGAGAAAGCGACTCCTGTGAGTTATCCTCTGACCTCCACACATGCGCTGTAGTAGCATGTGCACTCACAACACATAAATATGATGAAAACTGGAGTGTTTCCTAAAATTACCTCAGCTTTGCTATGTTTTCTGGAACAGCCTCAGAAATGGAAATGATAATATATACGTGTGCTGCAAGATACAGTTAGGGAAAATATTGGTGGCATAGTTCATATTTCTGGCATGCAGTATGTACTCAATGAAGGTAATTATTATCAAAGATCAAAATAATTAATTGGTGTAGAGAAGGGGATTGGGAAGGGGGAAGAGAGTTACTCAAGATACTCAAGCCATGATGGTAGCAATCACTAATTTTGTTAAGACTACATAATATATGAAGTTATGCACTAGGAAGAACATTCTAACTTCTAAAATCTGAAGGGTTCTTGGAAGGCAAGTTGACAATTAAACTGTACTGGCAGAATAAGCGGCCTGTGCTAGAGGCTCACTCTTTCAAAATCTGGGTCTTCATCCAGGATACGTGAAACCATACACTATCCGTGCATGGATTTCTCTGTCTATAACTCTTCCAGAACAAATGCAGTTTTTCATTTGAGGGTGTAAGTGTATTATTTTCTGTACTATTCTGGGAAGATGGTCCATATATTGCAAAGCTGTTCAAAGGGACCACAAACATGAAAAAGTTAAGAATCTCTGCCTAGCAGTTTCTTCGGGAAATCTGGTACTTTGGCAAAAATGGAAATGTTGACAGTGTGGTGGTTGTGTCATCTGGCTGGCCAAAACAATGTTTTCTGTTAAAGCAAAGATTAGAAGTCTTGAGGCCAAAATGATCTCAACTAAATGGTTCTTCTACTCTATGTTTCCATCTGTCCAGCATGTGAGCCATTAGCACATGCTTCCTGTTGATGATTTTCATACCCTATTTGCAAGGAAATTGCACTGAGACCAGTTGAAAAGAATTATTTAGCTCATGTATTGGAAAACCAAATAAACATTCCTCTAATACATACTATTGTATATTGCTACACAGTGACTATGGGATTAAGCACATATTGACCAATACTGCCTCTCACTCATTTGTCTACCACTTTTTTATATATAAACACATATGTATATATATTCCCATTCTAGTTCAAAAAAAATAGCAGGGCTCACCATGTGTTGAAATAATTTATTTCAACACTTAATGCATCATCAGTCCCGTACTTCTACATGTTGCGTCATCACCATTTGACCTCAACCCATTGTTAAATATTTAATAGTACTGTTGAATAAACAATACAAAGTATTGTTGACTTTTGAATGTGACATTTACATGAAAAAAAAATAAACCAATACATTCTCCAAAAGGTACAGGGTATAGTCAGTTGTTACCCTTTTGATGGATGGAAAATGAAATACAAGGGCAGGGAGAGTCCAGGGAGGATCAATGAGTCAGGAGCAGCAGCCACAACTGAAAAGATGTCATAACTCACCAATAAAGAATGAAGGCAGACAGTAACTGCCACCCAAATGCTAGAATAATGGAAACTGCATGTTTCCACCTCTCAAACGTGTAATGATGGATGGTCCTGCATAGGGATCTACTTACATAAAAAATAAAATAATATTCAACAAACCACTAGCCAAGAAGGGATCTTGCTTAATACTCACTGAGTGTAAATCCCATGGTGAAAGGTTGTTTTTTTTTTTCTCCTTGAAAAAGAGTGACTATGGAATAAAAGAAACACCAGCGAGTACATGTAAGAGTTTTGGATGAGTTAGCATAGCTCTTCTGGAAAGTGTGTTCAGTACATTCTTTTCGACGGCCACAGATAATCAGCCTTTGGAAGGATGAAGACAAGTGTCAGCCTGCACGAGGAAATGTTTATAACTCATTCAGCTCCTCTAGATGAGAAGTAAATACTGTGCACAAAAGCATCCTATTTCAGCATATGCTTTTCATTGACCAACAAACACAATGTGGATCCTGAGCCATAGTCGAGAGAAATGACTTTAAGGTGAGTGAAAGGATATACTATGTTCATTGTTTTTAAAGAGGTGTTACTGTTAACAGGCGAACTCTCCACAATTAACCTATCTCCGTCATAACCCCATGAAGATTTTGTAAAAGTAAGCAAGCAGAGTCTGTGAATTGTAAATAAAAACAACTAGACTACCTAACGTGGTCTCGAAAAGAAAGAACAAATCAGTAGAAATTACTCTGTCTGACTTCATTGCTTCTCCTAAAGCTGGTAGTCACAACAGTTTGGCCCTGGCTTAGGATCAACAAATAGATCAATAGAACAGATCACAGACCAGATATAGAGTTGGATGATGAGGCCATCTGACTTTTTTTTTTTTTTAACAAGATGCAAAAGCAATGCAAAACAAAAATTGCCCTCCATGGAAAGGTGACTGTCCTGTACCATTCTGCTGCTATAACAACACACCTTGTATCGGGTCATTCATAAGCAATAGGTACGTGTTGGTCACTGGTTTGAAGTGTTTTGGATCCCAAGATCGAGGCACCAGCAGATTCAGGGTCAGGGAAGGCTCCTCCCTGCTTCCAGGACAAGGCCTTGTTACCGCAGCTTCACACAGGATGAAGTACAGAGAAGTTAAAGGAACAAACTCCTTCCCTTGCGCCCCTTGATAAAAGCTGTAATCCCACCATAAGAGCATAGCCCTCATGGCCTCACCTCCCAAGTGCCTTCTTACCTCTCAGTATCACTTGTGGAGTTATGTTCCTAAATATGTTACATGAAACCATAGCAATGGCTGTGGAAAAATCATAAATATAACACAGTAGATGTCCAGAGTTAGTCTGTCTACAAACTGAACTCTGAATCTATCCTAAACACTGCTTCCTTCTTGAGTGAAGTATACATCAGAACAAAGGTAAGATTCATGCCAATATTTTTTTAACAAAGGTGACAACATGACAGATGACCAAATAACAATTGCACCAACTACTAATTCCAATATTGAATAGGCAAGCCCTTAGAAAAGAGCTAATTATTTCAGTACGCAATCCATTGCTCACTGCTTGATGGAAAAGCAAAATGAGGTATCAGAAATCAAAATATAGTAACCTAACTATAACATACTAACTCGCTTTTAGCCAACGAATAATCCAAGAAGGAGGTTCTTTCTTTGATTAATGCATTGTTTTGAACCTAAGGTGGAGAAACAGACCAGCAAGTACAAGTCTGTCCTCCTCATGATCTTCATGATGTAGAATATGTAAACAAAATTAGGACAAAAAGTACTAAAGTTCACACACTGACATTTTCAGTCACACCCAAATATATGAATCCTTTGTATTATTAAAGCGACCTGAAACACTTGGAACTGTCTATTAATCTCACATGATATTTTTATCCTGGGGCATAATTTGAGTGGTTTACTTTAATGACTTCATTATATTGAGCTGAACATGCTGATGGTGACTAGTCTAAGTGCCTGTGTGTCCCACATCTTAGCTGCTTTCTGAAAACTCAAAGCAGTTTTAAAATTGAAGGGGAAAATAAAGCTATACAAATGTTACACAGGGAGACAAAAAAAGTATTCCCCGAAAGAAAGAGTGGACTGTGGTTGATTGAGGCGATATAGAACAACCAATCAATCATTACCTTCGTGCTTTACTTAAAGACATATTTTATAATAATTTTTCTCAATCTGATCATTTTGTGGTGTGCATATCATGTATAAACACTGCCTGATGGGGACCGCATTTCTTAACATTTTAGGGTTACGATAATTCAGCCAATGCAGAAATACTGCTCCACCCTACCCACCCAAATATTCATTCTAGCCTATGAAATTGTGCCCTTTTCAAAAACTACCAACTGTTTTTATACTTAGAAGGACAAAATCCGATTCAAAAAAAGTTTGACTTTTAAAACACAAAAGTAACTCTGCCAGGTTATGGCTTCCAAATTCTCTGCTCGTGAACTCATCTCTCTTCTTCCATGTTGTTTTTTAGGGACTGAAATTAAACCAAGTCATTCTAGCATGAGTTTAATAGCTGTCTTAGGAGCTGGTTTAAATCATTTGTTAAACGCTAATATTTTAAATTTATAAACTTCAGAAGGAAGATAGCTTTTGAAGATGGAAAAAAAAATCAGAGAACAGTAGTCTTTTTTGTGTGGTGCCCAGAAATTCGGTTACAAAGTGGTCCTATTGTGTTTCTCATAATTTACATTTACTTTTTGGCAAAGCAGAAAGGAAAAAAAAAATAAGTCAAACTTGAAGGCATACAACAAAACTGAAAGACGGCATTTTTTTTTATTTAAAAATGTGCCTTTGACATTTAGATATCAACCAAGCCAATATTTAACGTTTATAAAAGACAAAACAGTAAAAGAAGCTGCAGCTGTTCTCCGTGATGTCACCGAACAGGTGTGTGGTACCGCATCACACCACAGAAACTGGATGGATCTCTTGGGGATGCCCACAGCAAGCCCATACAGAACTGGTATTCACGTGAGACTCATTTCCTCAGATGTGGCCAGAAAACAACCGGGAATGACAAGCGTCCTGGTGATCAATCTGGGCAAATTCGGAGCAGACATTCT